ACAGGAAACTCAAAGCCAAAATTGCAGGTCATTGTAGGAAGTGGGTGAGTCCGTGTGGCGTTTATATCTATGTCTGCTCTTCCTTTGGCCTCGTTCTCCCAACTACAGTTTTCCTGTGCCTGCTATATTGGTATTTCTCTACTTTATTGTAGGAATTATAAGCCACTTCAAATATTTGCATCCACCTACTTCTTTTTAACAAGGGTCAAAACTGCTATTAAATGTTTCAGAAGACATGATATAAAATACTGGCTACCTGCCCTCCAGTGTAGCCGGAAACAATACTATAGACATTGTGCCGAGTGACTTGGGTATAAATGAAAGCCTTATCCAGCATTGCATGTGGATCAGAAGTTTCTGTGCATTTCTGTTTAGAGCCTCATATTACAGGCAAACTCAGCTTTGCCTCCCACTGGCTCCTAGATAATTTCCTTTGGTGTGATCTCTGAGGTCCCAATGCCTTCAGCCTGCCCTGTCCCTACAAGTGTATCTTACTGATACAGGTACTGATTGCCCTTTGGTAAGAGGGCAGGGATTCATGAACTCTTATTCATTTAGGTTTATTTTTGTCAGTAAAGTTTGAAAGATTCCAGGACTCACTATTCAAATTTCACAAGAGTGTGACCATGTCATTCAGCCTTTCGTATGATTCTAGACAACCAAAACCAGACTTGTATCTTCTGATAGCAGCAGTTACCATTGCCTTCATCTCAAGTTCTCTAGTAATCACCTTCTTTCTCTCTCAGTCCTTGTATTTAAACTTAAGAACTGGGATTGTATGTAGAAAAAACACTCAACTTTCAGGTAATGAGGCTTTTCTTGAGGATTTCAGTTCTGCCAATAGTTGGTAATCCAGCAACCTTTCGAATCTATAGAATAGCCTTTTTTTTTGGTCACAAGATTTAAAATATATGAACAAAATAAATAATTATGAAATGTATGTATCCTAAACTTCAATACATTTATTTTTGTACGCTGATTCTTAGTTCACCAGCTTTTTCTCTGGACATGAATTTCGTCCTGGCCTCAGGTAGGCCCTGTTCTTCTCCTTTCTGCTCCATAAGCAGGGTAAGCGCCCTCCCTCTCTTTTTCTTGAATCATATTCACTGCACCCAGAATTTTTTTACTGTGATAGCCATACCATAGCTTATCATTGGAAGACATTGTGGTGCCACATAGAGTCATTCTACTCTGAAAATGAAGTTTCTGAATGAAGAGTGTCATTGGAACATAATTGCCTTTTTAAAATGGTTATGTACCCCATCGCTGAGCCAACCTCCAGGGCCCATGGCATGGCTCCCACTCCTGGAGCTGAGTCAGTCCTCCCCAAACCACATGGCTGATTGAGGATAGAGCAAGATCTAGGAACCACAAGTGTGGGAAAATAGAGAGGCAAATGAAAACATCAACCACCCTGTT